TCCAACCTAAAGCATTCTAGGATTCTATGCACTTTTAATTTTTATCCTTCTTACAAGCAACTCCAAAATAGCTCAGAGAGAGTCAACGTCCTCCTGTGTTTAAGCATCTAAAATTTAGGTTTACCTAAGCCAGATTTGATCTCAGCCTTAGCCTTCTGGCAGCAGATGGTGTCACCTTTAGGAGGTGCATTACTCCAGTTAAGAACTCCACAGAGTTATCAGAGAGCCATGACTCCTCCTGGAGAGCCTTACGTGTGGATACACTTTTGGCTGAATGCCTCGTACTCATTTCTCTTTAACAACATCCACTTGATGCAGGCAGAGTGATTTCCTTCCCAGCCCTCACGTGGAATCCTGTAAGAGCTGCTGCTTTTTTAGCTAGCTGCCCTCCCTCCTTGCAACTTTACTTTAGTATAAAAACGTCCTAAATTTACCATCCCTCCACCTCTGAGAGCTTTGCAAGATTGATGGAGGTAAGCACATCAATTAAGCTAAAAAATACATTGGAGGGGAAAAAAAAGAAAAAGGAGGTATTGTATGCAATGAAAATTGACTTTTATTTCACGAATTATGGGTGATATAAGGCATATTGTTTCAAGAGAAATGCCTGTATTTGCCAGTGTGTTTCATTAAAGAATAATAAAGCCATACATATTTCATTTCCTTGTTCTGAGCTGCACGAGCCTCAACTATATAAAATGCCCCATGCTGTCCTTGCTTTGTTGGTCTTTTTTTTTTTGTCCTTTTTAATCTGATTTCCCCCCCCTTAAACTAATGAAATCTCTCTTTAAACACATACATCACTGGCATCTGAAGTGACTTATCGTGGCTCAGAGGGTTTCTCTCTTCTGCTGGAGAACGAGGCAACAGCCAGCAGCTTTTGCTGTGCAGATCCAAGCCTGGATCGCCCTCAATCTCTGGAGTGCTGAGTTCTTGGCACTCCCACTGATGCTGTTTGAGGTGGACTAATGCCTGTGGGACCTTCACCTTGCACATCTGCAGCAATTCCTGGTCCAACTGCTGTCACATGTGATTTCTCTCTCCTTGTAGTATGCACCGACCCGCTGTGCAGCTGCACAGAGCTCCGTGGAGCAGAGCATCCTTCCTCCTTGCCATCACCACGAAGCAGTCCACAACCCCCAGCTGGTGCCCTGCACGTGCCCCCTCTTCTCCTGCCCATGGGAAGGGCACTTGGAGGTGGTGGTGGCCCACCTGAGGCAGACCCATCGCATCAACATCCTTCAGGGGGCAGAGATTGTCTTCCTGGCCACGGACATGCACCTGCCCGCCCCCACGGACTGGATCATCATGCACTCTTGCCTTGGCCACCAGTTTTTGCTGGTCCTCAGGAAGCAGGAGAAGCACGAAGGGCACCCCCAGTTCTTTGCCACCATGCTGCTGGTGGGCACGCCGACCCAAGCTGACAACTTCACCTACAGGTTGGAGCTCAACAGGAACCAGAGGCGCCTCAAGTGGGAGGCCACCCCCAGGTCGGTGCTGGAACGGGTGGACTCCATCATCTCAGATGGGGATTGCCTCGTGCTGAACACTCCCTTGGCCCAGCTCTTCTCAGACAACGGGAGCCTGGCCATAGGGATTGCAATAACCACCAGCAACGTTCACAGTGCTGAAGCTGAAATGTGAGAGGGAAGAGGAAGAGGAGGAGGAGGAGGAACGACGACGATAACGGTGCTTCAGCTGCCTTGCGAGAGCCAGAACTTGAGGATGTTTTTGGGGGGGGTCTCAGGGCTTTTATGGTTATTTAGTACTGGTCCCCAGTGGGCATTATGTAAACGTCCCGTGGTGACGGTCTCTGTGTCATGTATTTACTGTTTTGTTAATACAATTTTATGAGAAATTTTAAAGAGGCTTTAATCAAGTTATTGTCGCCCTCCCCCAACAACGGGAGCGAGAAATTCCCTCAGGAATTGCCCCCAGGGGGGCTCATGCCAACCTCTGCTCTGAGCCTGCTATGCCAAGGGGTTTCTTTTGTTGGCCTGGTGTTAAGGTGGCCTCTGTGCCTGCTAGAAGGTTCCACTAAGGGACAAGAGCACCCAGGTTTCCGTGCTGGCAGTAGAGATTTAACTCTTACACCCTGGTCACAACCAAGCCCTGGAGAGCTTGCAGGGTCTGAGCTCCCTTCAGCTTCTGAGGAAAGAGCCTTCACCACCCAGGCCATGAAAGCTGGGGAAGAAAAAGCCATCACCTCCAGTGAGCATTAAATCAGGGCTGACAGCCAGTGGGTGGTCCCTGTGAGCACGATTCATCTCACTCTCCTATCATGGTGAGCAGTGAGATGCTTGCTTGTCATATCCAGGATGGATAGAACCAGCCAGCCATCAGCATCCACCTTTTTAGTTGCTATTTCCTTAAGCATTCAAACATATTTTCAGGAAATAAAGTATCAGAACAGTCCTAAGTTCCCTGCTGATCTTCCTGTTGAATTCTGTGCCCCTTAGACCCACACTGTGTGCTGCTAAATATTGATTTAAACCAATGCAGCTGGAATATCTGTTTGCAAAAGGGTTGTGAGATGTGAAATGGTCTCCTTTAAAATGAACCAACTTTTTTCCTTCACACTTTTAGGGCTTGATAAAAGTCCCTTTCTTCTCCTGAGAGGGTTTAGCAGAGGGTGGTGGTCACAAGAAGGCACAGAAGATCTCTAAGAGCTTCTTCTGACTTGGGGAGAGTTGGAGGGAGGTGGTGGCCACCTCCTGACACTCAGTCCCATCTGCAGCCAGGCACGTTTGCTCCACGGCCAACACCAGCAGTGGAATCCCACCAGGGCAGATGAATTGTTGCAGGAGGAGGCTCTACAGCCAGCGTGGCACGTGAGGAGCATGGGAAACTGTCTGTCCCTGTTTTCCCTTCTGCCTGTGTGTGGCTGGGGGCTGGCTGCTCCTGAAGGCTTTTTTTTTTGAGAAACATCTGGTGGGTTGGGTCAGTTAGGAGCTAGAGACTGAGGTGCATTCCTTGGAAAACCAAGGAAGGGGGTAAGTGAGCTAAGGTAGGTGAAAACACTGATGCTAACCTCACCCACCTGCTGATCTCCTGGGGGTTGTTGTAAATGATGTGTAAAGCCAAAGCAAACTGCCCTTTTCCTGAGGTGAATTCCACACAGGTAATTCCTTCTGAGTGGCAGATGCACCTCACCCTCTTATTTGGGCTTTCATAGCAGGTCACCACGCAGAGGAGCCCCCAGGACAGGAGGGATGTGGAGCTGCTGGAGCGTGGCCAGAGAAGAGCCACGAGAATGATCCGAGGGCTGGAGCAGCTCTGCTGGGAGCACAGGCTGAGGGAGTTGGGGCTGTTCAGCCTGGAGAGGAGAAGGCTCCCAGGGGACCTTCTTGTGGCCTTCCAGGAGCTGAAGGGGGCGCCAGGAAAGCTGGGGAGGGACTTTTTAGGCTGTGGGGCAGTGGCAGGACTGGGGGGAATGGGGCAAAGCTGGCAGTGGGGAGATTCAGACTGGCCGTGAGGAAGAAGTTCTTCCCCAGGAGAGTGGGGAGAGCCTGGGAGGGGTTGCCCAGGGAGGGGGTTGAGGCCCCATCCCTGGGGGTCTTGAAGGCCAGGCTGGAGGAGGCTCTGGGCAGCCTGATCTAGTGGGAGGTGTCCCTGCTCATGGCAGGGGGGTTGGAACTGGGGGATACTTGGGGGCCCTTCCAGCCCTGACAGATTCTGATTCTGTTTGAGCAGAGGACTCAGGAGTGTTGGCTTGATGGTTGGACTGGATGATCTTGGAGCTCTCTTCCAACCTAAAGGATTCTAGGATTCTATGTCTTCAACAAGATGCTCATGGCCACACAAGCTGAGAGCTGAAAAAGAAGTCTCAGTCCCTGTTGGAGTATGCTGGGACACACCTTCACAGCTCTCCCACCTCTCAATGTGGGGGGCCAGGGGAGCACCCTGACTCCAGTGGGACACACAAACCAGGCTTGAAAGGGGCTGCCTTTTTTCCCTGCCACGTTAAATATTCAGTACCAGCAACTGCTGCCCTTTCCTAAACGACAGTAATAAATTAACCATTGGCGTTTTTAAGGACTGAAAACTGCCTTCTCCAGCTCCTCTGGCAAATATTCTGCTTCTGAATTAAAACAAAGCAAAAGCAATAAAAAAACCCAATAAAACCAGTGCCTGCAGCTTGAAGCTCCTGAGCTCCTTGTCCACTGTGGTAGAGATTTGAGGTAATGATGCTTTTGTTGCTGGATCACAACCAGTCCTAGAGGGAGGAATGTTCCTTGGGTATTCCCTTGGTCCAGGCTTCTTGCTAGTTGGCACCTTTTGTTGTTGAAATATCTTCTGAAATGGAGAACGTGCTGCTGATATTTTTGGGCATGCCCTTTGCCAAAGGAAGAGTGGATTGCTGGCAGCAGGAGTGTGGCAGCAATGGTTCCCTAGGATGGTTATCTCCATCCCTCGCCAGCATCCTGGTTTTCTGGCCATGGACCTCCTCACCTCCCACACATCCTTCTCCTAGAGTTTTCTCATGACCACACCAAAAGTTCAGATTTTCCTTCTCAGTCTTCTCTCTCATCTTTGGCCACCTTTCTCAGCTCCTTCTTGAGCTCTATACCTTCGTCTTGCAGAGCCCACGGCACTTCTTGCCTCCTCCTGCTCTTGCCTCATGGCTTAAATTGTTGCTTAAATTGTTTTTGCTGCTTTTTTTTCAACCCAACAAGTAATCCCCTTGGTTGGTTCTTTCCACCACTGCAAAGCCCCAGCTCTGGCAGGGATTTCAGAAGTCCAGGTACACTGGAGAACTGCTGAAAAACTGCCCAGTATGACTCCCAGTACAAAAAAAGGAGACATTTTGGGGAGAAAGGGGACATTTTCCACCCTTCATAGCAATCTCAACATAAAATTCAAACGTTTAAGGCTATATTTAAAAACTTTCTCCCGTGGAAGTCATTCTCATTCAGTCATAATTCAAATCCTTTGAGCAACTCTTCACCTGCCATAGAGCAAAGGCGAAGCAAATATTCTGCAGAGGAGGACATAAATCCTAAAATGCTGGCGAGGAGGATCAACAATGAAATCCAGTTTACATGCACCCTTTCACTGCCCATCATACAGCACTTTTCACAGCTCCCTGCTCCTGTTTGAAATGCAACTTGACTTCCCAAATTCGAGCTGAAATTGGGGCCTGTAGAATATTTCAAGCTCTAATGTTTTGCAGCTCTAGGATGTGTTGTACCCTGTCACTCCAAATCCCCCCAAAAACGTGTAGAACACATCCTTCTATCTCTCTGTAGAAAGTACCCTTCATTTGATGCAGGAGAAAATGAGGTCCTGCAAAACTGTTATGCAGCTGTCACAAAATTCCACTTCCTCACCTACCTACCTGGAAGCAATGTGGCCTCTTTATTTTGGGATATTTTCATTTACATAGACAAAATGGTGGGTTTTTTTTAAGATTTTTTTATATCTCTGCATTCATGGATGTATTTTTTTGTGCCTAGATCAGTACATTGCAATAATAATTTCATCAGGCAGAGCCAGATTGCTGCTAGACCCCCTAGAAAACCTGCTTTGGTTCTTCTGCACCATCCATCAGCCACAGCGTGAATGTTAATGTCAGAGCTGCAATAAAACAGCATTAGTGCTTTCAGCTCAAGCCCATTATGAATTAAGCCTGCATCATATATCCATGACTTCTTATAAATCAGCTGAAGCATCCCCAGTCCCATCATCCTGAAGATGATAAAGGATCTTGCAGTGCCAGGGCCAGCTGGAGGGCTTGCTGGGATGTAGGGCAGGAGTCCTCATCCCACTGGGCTCTGCTGTCACATCCTCTGTTCCACACCAGCCTTTGTGAGCACAGGCCAGTCACCTCCTGAAGAAAGGAAGGGTGGCAAATTTTGGACCATGAAAGGGTCATGACAAAAGAAATAGTGTATAAATTGGCTGGCACTGCTGCATAGCTCTCTCTTTGGGACATCAGAGGAGAGAAAATCAGCTGATAGTGATGTAGGGTGGGTGATTTAATTGCATTTTTAGCCCTGGAAAACATTTTGATGAGATTGAGTCCACCCAAACAGACTCAGAGGCACCTCCCATGGAAGAGCTGCAGCTTTGGAGCCATTCAGACACAAGCATAAGTTTTTAATCCTTTTTTTTTTTTCCCTAAAATCCAATGAACTCTGCATGTTCAATGTTTCATGTGGAAAACAAAGATTGCCACACGGATCCTCACCAGAATTATTGACCCAAAAAGATGATTCCTTGTTCTGCAGGGCTGACCCTGCAGAAAATGAGGGAGTTTCCCAGCAGGGTGGCACAGGGCAGCACCTGCAGGCTCAGGAGGCAAACACATCCAACCCAGGGCAGAGCTCGACCTCCAGGCAGGGACATCACTCAACAGAAACCACTCAGAGCGAGGTCACAGCCAGGGCTGTCAGGAAAATGCCTGGACCTCCTGGGAGCTGCACACCAGCAGGGAGCTGAGGCTCTGTGTAGAGTCACATCTTCACACCAGCCCCTTCCACTGAGCAAGAGACTCATAGAATCATAGAATCAATTAGGTTGGAAGGGACCTTCAAGATCATCAAGTCCAACCCTTGAGCCATTAGGGCTCTAAAGTCCTCTGCTCAAACAGAATCAGAATCTGTCAGGGCTGGAAGGGACCCCAAGGATCCCCCAGTTCCAAC